CAAACACTACTCACTTGACTCTGAAGATGACTTCCGCTCAGGTTGTCGAAACGTCAGTCACCAACAACAGTTCTTTTCAGAACTACCCTGACCCGGACGATCACACTATACGAACTACTGATACTCCTGGGTTCAAACCATTTACTAACAAAAACCTTCTAGACAAGGAGTCTCCGCTTATTAGCAGACTTTTTGATAATACTGATTTTCTGCATAGTACACACAAAGCAGTTTTACCCATCATTTCTTTTTCCATAGACTAGGTTCGCAAGCAATTTTTCTCAACAAAATAATTGCTACGGCATGAAAATACACAGTCATGAGATTTTGAAATCGTTAAAGCAATAAGTTTCTATCTGGTTTGTATCATTTTGCAGCAATACAGTGAAACCCATTTCAAACTTACTCTTTCTCTGGATAAAATCCTTGTATACCAATGACAAGGCCGCCACTTGCCAGTCTAGCAATTACAGTGATAATTGAAATCACTGCTCCACTGGTTTCCTGTAGATTTAGTTATGATATCGTTATTGACCGGGCAGTAAGTTATAATGTCTTATATTGATTCGCTCTCCAGATTGAGTTTTACATTGGCTGCAACAAGCGAGCAGTAAAGCCTGAAGACAACGAAGAACAACGAACCTCAACTCTACGTTTACAGTAAACTATGCAGTTGAGATTCTTGTTTGTTTGCTAGCTTGCTTGTCGGGTAGAATGGTGGGTAGCTGGTTGGGTGATGAGTTATTTAGCAAGTTTGCCTCAGACACACAAGACATTTTAATAATTCTGTCTGAACAAATTACCATTTTTATTTGTACTTTTGCTCTAGAGATATTTTGGAAACAAAAGACACACACAAAGATAGAAGTTTGACGTATGACGTATTAGCATGGACTGGGGCTCCTCCGAATAAAGGTAGGTGAATATTTTTGATATCTTTTCAAATTTGTGAAATAGAATCTCGATATTTCCAACAAAGAACTGAAGATTATTAACGTTAAAGAACAAATTTTGGAGAGCTTAGCGGATAGAGTGGGCGCACCTAAGTTTAGACGTGTCTACGTCACTAATCTGTGTGCAGGAGTAAAAGAGGACAATCACCCTATATCACTAACCTTGTTTTCTCCTATCAGTTCAGTGATAAAAGCCAGCGCCATTACATACATAACGGACATGCCAAATCCTATCAATATGACTGGTGCATAGGTCGCTTGCCTGGTGGAAGGAGTTTGAAAATAACTCCAAAGAGCACCGCCTATCACAAGGGAAGCTGCCAGAAGGTAACTCCACTGCAAGAGCAAGAACAATGCAAAGAAAGTTTGAAAATCGTTCCATCAGTACGACAATCGTTTCAACTCCATAAAAAATATATTTAGTTGATACAATTGTTGAAAAAGAAATCTCCATTTACTGATTTTTTTTTTTTTTATCGTAGAGTATTTTTTCTTTTCTTTTTTAGTTTTTGAGTTATTCAAACTCCATGTTATTCTTCACCTTTAACCGCAGTAGAAAAATGACCCAATATCTAGATCTGTTTTTGCTAGCAGGTCATGTAATGTCAAGCCTCGATCACGAGCTTTCAGAGCTTGAAAGAATCTCTTCTCTTACCCCTTCCAAAGCTCCCCAGTTGCATACGTGAATACAAAAATATATAATCTTATATAACTGAAGAAAAATTGACAAAATGAAACCAAGGAATAACCAGACACACGTTGAACACTATTTCACCCATAGCTAGTACCAAACAACTAGCTCGTTTGACTTTTTACAATACGCCATATTATTACCTTGCTTCCAATCTTTTTGTTGAGTTTCTCACAAAACAGGCTTGACAAAGATGCACTTATCAGAAGAACCAATGGAAAATAGGCGATGGCTTCCTAGAGGAGACACGGGACACAATAAAACAAATCAGTGATGTTCACCAGACGAGACTTCAAAACCTTTTGTAGCGTAAAACTCTAAAAGTTGCTTTCAGTACATTTACTGCTTAAAATAACAACAATGTGCGTATGCCAATTTATTGTTTCTACAATACAATTATACGTTATGATATGATACAGCTGCCCGGAATCTGCTCGTAGCATTTTGCTTAAAATTTGTTACCAATAATTAAGAAATAGAAAACATGTACCATGTTTCTATCGAGTTATAGAAACACGAGTGGAAGTTTGGAAGAACAAGAAATGCTGTGGGAACACGAGCCGCAAGCGAGTGTTTCCACAGCTTTTTCGAGTTCCCCCAAACTTTCACGAGTGTTTCTATAACTCGATAGAAACACGGAGAACATATTTTCTATTTCTTTTAGAAAACACCGCGACGAAAAAAGGAAAACAACTTGTTAACTTTGATTATCGAGTTTTAGCATAAATCTACTAGCGTTCTATCACGAATGCCGTTCTCTGATTGGCCACGCTACTCACTATCTATTCTGTGATAGATAGTGAGTAG